CCATCATTAAATAAATAAAAGACAAATAAATAATAAACACCTGGCTGAGCATCTCACCTAAGAGTGAAAAAGGTGACTAACATACAATCAATTATGAATCACCAAACCTCCAGTGACAATAGAAAATTAAAATTAAAATAAAAAACCCGGCTAAGCACCTCTTCTGAAAATGAATTTTTTGTGACTACAAAGTATTATTCAAAATCATCTGTGAATAAAATATGGCATGCAATAAAAAACAAAATATAAAAATAAATGTAGGTCAAATAATATTAAGTAAACACCTGGCCAAGCACTAAATCAATATTGATAGTGGTCAGGCGCAACGTGACATCTTTAATATAGAAAATATAAATTATTAAACACCCAACTGAGCACTCTGCATAAGTCCAAATAAGTGCGAGAACTATAACAGTGAAAAGTCTCAATAAAGTGTAATGTGCCCAAAAAAAATCTTCAATATTGAATGAATCCACCAGCGAATACTGCTTGTGTTCATTCACCAGCTAGCATGCGCGCTCACCTCCAACTCTGACCTATATGTTAAATATGTCATAAACACTTTTGATCCATGAGTTCACCAACAGCTTCCTTGGATGTCACCTCCTCTGTGATGCTTCAAACGACTCCTCTCTTGTGGACCATGCTCAAAAGAACAAATCACAAGGGGCTTTCCTTAGTGTAATACATTCTTGTTTTAATAAGTATAAGCCAGATAAACACTACTCACATTTAAAAACTAGCATATGCAGTATATATTATAGGTGTACCAAGATGGCGGCTACAGTCCGAAACCGGAAATTATGTCACCCCGCTTCCGCCAGACACGAATCATGTGACTTCCTCATGGACTTTCATCATGTGACACTGATGTGGACTTTCCATTAGTTTGAAATGTTTGTGTTAGTTCATGAAATTTTGAACACCCTGAAGTTTCATCGACCATTACACTTCTACTGACGGTTACCTTGTTTGTGTCTTGGTGTAGCATTCTGTATCCCTTTTGAGATTCCAATATTTGCCCATTAGTTGTATTGATTTTTTCTGTTTTACTCTGGTCGGGGCGAATAAAAACATTTCTGTCATTTGTCATGTGACTTGAAACTCCTGAATCAACCATCAATCAAAAATCAGTTTCTTTCTTCACACTTTTGGCCTTTTGTAGTTTAGTTGGCTTTTGCATCCTAGCTTTCCACATTTTGCAATCTGCTTTTAAATGATCTTGTTTCTTGCACACAAAGCATTCATGTGTTTCTTGTTGCATGTTACTGTTTTCATTCCTATTTTTTGCCTTTAAAGCAGACTTTGAGACAGAAGCACAGTCACTAATAATACTTTCTGTTTTACGTTTATATTCATCTATAAGCTTGCCATTAACATACTCCAATGTTAACAATGTCAGTTCATCATCTGAACTTGTATCTCAAGTGCTGTGACAAGTGTTTCATAACTTTCTGGTAAACAACTAAGTAATAGCGCTGCTGCATGAAAATCTGTAACAAATTATTTTATTTCTTTTCCTATACCTCTCAGGCGTTCATTTCAAGGTGTGCCTTTTGTAATCCTGCATATCCTGGCCTTCCATCATCTTGTTTTGGTATAGCTTTCTAATGAAGTACAATTAATTGCTTAGATTGCAGTAGCTCTTTCATGCACTTTTTGGAATCATTCACACATTTCCTGAGCAATTTCACACTTACACATATGTATGATTTGATCATCTTCTATGCTCAGAGAGATTGTGCTCTGAACCTTTTGATCTTTCTCTATCCACTCATCTGAAGGGTGTTTGGACCTGACTTCATTTATACATTTCGACATACTTTCTCTTATTGGCAGCATCTTCATCTTGAATTTCCAAGATTAGTTCTGGTTTACAGCTGTATTACTGGCCATTTTCTTTTATTCTGTTGCAGTCTTCTTTCTGTTGCTGTATCTTGCACTTATTTGCTGTATTCAGCTATGACTGGGCCTGGGCCCTTAACCTGTTAGAAATTCTGTGTATAATCCTACAGAACTGACAGTGCACAGACCACATGCATTTTTTCTGCTTCACTGCAACCCGGAAACAGGAAACTTTATTCAATGAAAAGACATAGCGATTACAGTACCATAGATGCAGCTAGAAACTTATAAATACTGCCATCCAATGGTTGAAGAATATATCACTACTGAATACTGATGTTGTTGCTGTACAAAAATACATGAACACTGTATGCCAACACTAACATGTGAAGCCTACTGAGGGGTGCTACATGAGCATATTTCATGTAGTGGCAGTGGAAGAGAGAAAAAAACACATCATTCCTGGGTTTATGCAAGAATCTGAATATTCTATAAAAGGAAACACTCAAAAGCTGGGAGGCAGTGTATAATGGCAGGTAGCTGATTGGGCAGCAACTGTCTGACTTTAGGTGACCCAACTCCTAATGTAGGTATAGAAAAAAAAAGCTGAGTATGGGGGCAAATATAAACCTTTCAGAAGTATGACTGGGTGTTTACTGATTATTATATTTGTTTGTCTCAAATATTGCAATGACACATGACGTGAATATCAGAAAGCGGCATTATTCTGACTCCAACTGTTGTATTAGTGGCTTAACCCGTGCTGAGACCCAAGCTCTATGCTTGGCCTGTATAAGCAGATACAATTACTGCGAACAGTTTTTATCAGAAAAATGAACTCACCAAACACCTGTTTTCTCAGCCATGAAATTTTTATTTCATGCAGTAGTTACAGGAGACAACAGATGCGTCAGATGATCGAAAAAAACAGTATTTTCAGGTCAAAACATGGTAATGTGTTCCCGGATGCGAGCAGATTACCTGCTGCCTGCAGCCATATTCATCCCAATAAAGACAGAGTGAAAAGGAAGAGGAAACACATCACAAGTGGGAGGAACACAGGGTGGAAGACAGAAAAAGATGGTGCCATAACCAAAATAACCATAAGATGGCAGTATATTAACTAATTATTCTGAAGGTAATACACAATGGTTAGGAAAATAACTATAGAGATTCTCAATCTATAGTAATCTGAACATCAATCGTTTCCCGACCGTCCTATAGCAGAACTACTGCTACAGGGCAGCAGGGCTGCGCAAAATCATGTATATATACGTGGTTTTGTATTTCTAGGTAGGGGGCGTGCGCACCGCCCTACCCATGCCGCCATTGGCGGCTACAGCTGTCGATCACCGGGTCCCAGCTAGGGATTCTCCGCCAGCACCCGGCGATCGCCGAGGAACACTGGCAGAGGAGAGGTCTGTGTGTAAACAAATACAGATATCTCGCCTGTCAGCACCAGCATGCTGCTTTGTATTGCTCTGCATAGCAGAGCAATACAAAGCAGCGGGCTTACATGGTAAACATAAAATAGTACTACTTACATAGTAAACCCAGAATAGTAAAACAGTACACAGTTAACTCTTTGATCGGCCCAGATTTTAACCCCTTCCTGCCCCGTGTCATTAGTACAGTGTCAGTGCTTTTTATTAGCACTGATCACTTTATTAACATCACTGGGGATGTCAGTGACAACAAGTCAGTTCCCACCCAGTGTCAGAATGCCTGCCGCAGTCCCACTATAAGTCGCCGATCGCCGCCATTACTAGTATAAAAAATTCCAGTATATATACCGCCATTTGTAGATGTTATAACTTTCACGTAAACCAATTAATTTACACGTTTTGGGACATGTAGCAGGATACATTTTGGCCTAAATTTATGATGAAATTTGATTTTTAAAAATTTTTTACTAAATATGTTTATAGCAAAAAGTTAAAAATATAGTTTTTTTTTTCAAAATTGTCGGTCTTTTTTTATAGCACAAACAATTAAAAAATGCTGAGGTGATCAAATACCACCAAAAGAAAGCTCCATTTGTGGGAAAAAAAGACATACACTTAATTTGGGTGCAGTGTTGCATGACTGAGCAATTGTCAGTTAAAGTAACGCATCACAAAAAATTGCCTGGTCAGGAAGGGGGGTAAATCCTCTGGAGGACAAGTGGTTACCCATGACTATGCATTGCATTATATTTTCACACAAGACGTTAGACAGCACAACCGTGATGCACCATTTGCATTCAGTAGGAACATTTGGCTGCCCATGAGGATGGACAATGAGCATGGTCCTGCTATCTTGGCACAAGGGATATAAAGACAAATCTGAAACCTTGTGTACTGTACTAGTATGCTTGCATGTCTGACCACATTAAACTGGTCCTGAACTACTTCAAATGACTACAGGTTCTTCTTACGGACTCCATATGGCATGCTGTAGATCCTCACAGCAGAGAGTTCAGGGGCACCACCATAAACATATCTAATATATTCCATTAATTAATTGGCTGTTAAACAAGGTCATTGTAGCTTATGACCTCCAATCATCACAGGTCAGGGTATAAACAATTAGAGCGGGTGGCTGGTGTTCACATAATTGTATTGTGGAGATTGTTCTGCCTAGTAATAGCAGTCTATGTTGACTTATCAGATGGGAATGTGAATGTGTATCTCTGTAGACTTTCACGTTGCATAGCTACCAATATACCACTTTTAATGTCATCCCAAGGGCTGATTAGCAGTGCTAACTGGAGTGTAAATGTAATATGACACATTACCGCCAGCTGTCCGGTAGTGGAAAACTGGCTAATTTAAGCTGGGGGGTGGGAACAGACTTGGGTGGCCTAAGGCCAGAACAACACCAAGCCTCATGCTTACATTGAAATTGATTATTGTCAAAATTGTAGCCATGCAGACCCAGCGTATTTATCATCCTGTTAGATTTTCAATCCTGTCATGTTTTCTTCATCAGCAAGCCACTAAAAGAAAAAGTAGCGTTTTTATACATTCCTGCTTTAAAGCCCAACTGAGCTCTCAGTTTTCTGATTGCAGAGCTCTGACAAAGTGGACATTGATCCAGGACATGGGTCAGAAACATGAAAAAATTAATACGTATTAAACTGGAACTAAACCCATCAATTTAAAGTATTACTAAACCCAGGCCCCTGCATTCACTATATCTGGTCCCCCAGGACCCTGCATTCACTACATCTGGTCTCCCCAGACCCTGCATTCACTATATCTGGTCTCCCAGGACCCTGCATTCACTATATCTGGTCTCCCAGGACCCTGCATTCACTATATCTGGTCTCCCCGGACCCTGCATTCACTATATCTGGTCTCCCAGGACCCTGCATTCACTACATCTGGTCTCCCCAGACCCTGCGTTCATTATATCTGGTCTCCCAGGACCTTGCATTCACTATATCTGGTCTCCTGGGACCTCGCATTCACTATATCTGTTCTCCCAGGACCCTGCATCCACTATATCTGGTCTCACCGGACCCTGCATTCACTATATCTGGTCTCTCTGGACCCTGCATTCACTATATCTGTTCTCCCCAGACCCTGCATTCACGATATCTGGTTTCCCAGGATCCTGCATTCACTATATCTGGTCTCCCCGGACCCCGCATTCACTATATCTGGTCTTCCAGGACCCTGAATTCACTATATCTGGTCTCCCAAGACCCTGCATTCACTATATCTGGTCTCCCACAGTACACAGAATATGGAAATGAAATTATTTTAGTAAATATAAGCTGCTAAATACCTTTTCTCATTAGTAGTTAGGGCAGTCTTGTGACTGTATGGGGCCCCAATCATCCTACTCATATAGGCTTAACCCTGCAATCAGAGTACACTCCCGCCGATTGATTGGCTCCAGCTGTGTAGAAGAAATATATATGTACTAAATGGTCATGTGTGTGGACAGGCTGTGAGACAATTGTGCAGATAAAGATACCATCATTCCCCCATCATTCCTTGTGTATGAGGAGAGGAGATTTAAAAATGTGTACAAGAGGTCCATAGGCCACATAGAGAGAGTGCAGGCCTGTGCTGCACCCAAGTGCCCCTAGGTGGCAGTGCGCCCTAGGCGACTGCCTAGCTTGCCTAGTGGAAGCACCTGCCCTGCCTCTCTAGCAACACAGGCTGCATGACCCCTGACCCTTGGTCCGGACAGTGCTGATTGGCCCTCTGCTGATCACATGCAATCTCCCAAGAGAAAATAAAAAACATTCTAGCAATACACACCAAACTGAGCATGTGCAGCTTGCCCTCAAGCCTCTGTTCTATCAGCAGATGGACTGGGGAGAGTAGAAGAAGGGGAGGATCAGAGATGTCAGAATCAAGCATTCTTTTTACAGAATGAGGAGGATTAACCCCTTAGGTTCTACAGTGAGTATAACAAGCATGCTTTACTGCATATACAGACTGATTTTACTGCTGTGGGTTTAGTAACACTTTAACTGTTTCCAAAAGCAGTTACGTTAAAAAAAAATGCAGAGGTGATCAAATACCACCAAAAGAAAGCTCTATTTGTGGGAACAAAATTACATAAATTTCATGTTGCATGACCCGCGCAATTGTCAGTTAAAGGAATGCAGCGCCGTATCGAAAGTAATGCCCTGGTAGGAACGGGGGTAAATCCTCTGGAGGACAAGTGGTTAAAGATTCTGTGTGTCATTTTTGTATGGTTCAGTAAGTTAGCTAAGGAATCCTCAAAGTGCTCAACTCTTCAGTTCTGGGGTATCCCATGCTTCCTTCACCCCATCCACGTTCAATATTCCAATAAAACCCCAAGTAAGATACCCCTAGACTGTTCCTTTGAGCCAGTGGAAGGGTCAAGAAAAGCTGTGTGTGCTTTACCTGGGGGAATAAGGCAAAGTTCACCAGTGTCTCTTTAGAGGTGTGCTACACATGACTTTGGAACAGTATGGCACACAGCAGTACCCCCTTTGTTACCACTGTGATGAACGTGGCGTCAGACCCCTGACCTTCTCACCAAATTCGTGACCGAAGGACTAGCCAATCTAAAACCACAATGTCACGTGCGTAACAATGCCACGCCCAGCTGCACCCTGCACAATGATTTTCCAGCTCACTGGACCTCCAATGGTTGTACCGGCAGCCTGAATGCGATTGTTACTGGGTCAGGTTAATTACGCAATTAACCCTTCACACTGCCACCACCTCCTTTTTGTACAGCAATATATCAGCTATAGCACTATAATGGTTGAGATAATCGTCTGTATAACACAGTCACCGCAGGCCGGTTATACAGAGGGTTAAACAAGCACAGTAGCGCTCTTTTAGAGGCAGGAATTCGTAAATTGCAATAAAGAGCTATAGAAAAAGTTCAACACTTTCAGAAAGAAAGATTTATTACTAAAAGGTCAAAAGGGTGCAATAAAAATATTTATAGAAAAAAGATGTAACCAATATATATATAAATATACAGAGAACAACAGCACAGCAAAGAGATAACAGAGAGAAGTTAGAGGGTTAAAGTACTTGCCAAAGTCCTGGGTTAGCAGATCAAGTTTCAGAGTGAAAGGGCACGGATCTCCCAAGTTGGTTGTGATGGTAAACGGGAAAATTCTTCAACTTCCCTCTCTTAGGCCTGACAGCCCATCTTGTAGTTCCCTAGCAGGGGGTGTCTCTGAAGTCAAGGACCAATGCCCCGTTTAGGGAGGGATCGTCTGGTCGTAGCCCTAAACTAGAGCCAAAATCTCTTATAGCTCATATTTTGGCTCATAACTTTCCATATACACAAGTGACATTCCACCCGCGGGTAGATTATTATGCAGACACATCTGAGGAATGATTAGATATGAAATATGAACTTATACACTGAATGCTCCTAGATTGTAAGCTCGAAAGAGCAGGACCCTCAATCCCCTCATGTTTTGCATTGTATTGGTATTGTTCTGTCACATGTTCTGTCCCCCTTTGTAATGTACAGTGCTGAGTGAACTATTGGCGCTTTATAAATACTGTATAATAATAATTAGAGATGAGCGAATCGAACATGACGAAGTGGAATTCGTTCCGAAGATTTGGAAAAATTCTATTCGCGACGAATCCGAAGATTAGCAAACTTCGGATGCACGAATCGAATTTTCCCAAAAATGGCGGCGACATGTGTGGCCACGGAGAAAATGGACAGAGAAGATGGGGCGGGGATCTCTGGGAAGGCGCGCAGACAAGGCGCGCTGACCCATAATGCATTCATGACATGTGATCGCATTAGCCAATCAGCAGCCAGCCAGCACTATAAATCGCGGCCATCTTAGAATTCTCCATTAGCCTCCGGTCATTCAAGAGAGACAGACCTGTCTGTATTAAGGGACAGAGTTAGGGCCACAGAGACTTTAGGGCCACAGAATCGTTACTCAGGGACACAGAATCGTTACTCAGGGACACAGAATCGTTACTCAGGGACACAGAATCGTTACTTAGGGCCACAGCTATCAAAGAATCGAAAATTTAAAGTGACATACACCCTTTTTTTTTTGGTGGCTGTCGTGCACAGTTGGTGCTGCAGTTTGCCGATTGTGCAAAATAAACTGACTTTCTGCTTCACAACCACTATTGTACGTTCAAAGAGTTAAATCCATTTACACGCCGGCTGGCGGTAATATTTTTTGGGTGATTAGTGCATTCCAGTGACACAAACGTACAGTTTCCAGCCAACGGCAAGCTGCAATTGACCGATTGTGCTAAATAAACTGACTTTCTGCTTCACAACCACTATTGTACGTTCAAAGAGTTAAATCCATTTACACGCCGGCTGGCGGTAATATTTTTTGGGTGATTAGTGCATTCCAGTGACAGAAACGTACAGTTTCCAGCCAACGGCAAGCTGCAATTGACCGATTGTGTATAATAAACTGACTTTCTGCTTCACAACCACTATTGTACATTCAAAGAGTTAAATCCATTTACACGCCGGCTGGCGGTAATATTTTTTGGGTGATTAGTGCATTCCAGTGACATAAACGTACAGTTTCCAGCCAACGGCAAGCTGCAATTGACCGATTGTGCTAAATAAACTGACTTTCTGCTTCACAACCACTATTGTACGTTCAAAGAGTTAAATCCATATACACGCCGGGTGGCGGTAATATTTTTTGGGTGATTAGTGCATTCCAGTGACATAAACGTACAGTTTCCAGCCAACGGCAAGCTGCAATTGACCGATTGTGCTAAATAAACTGACTTTCTGCTTCACAACCACTATTGTACGTTCAAAGAGTTAGATCCATTTACACGCCGGGTGGCGGTAATATTTTTTGGGTGATTAGTGCATTCCAGTGACATAAACGTACAGTTTCCAGCCAACGGCAAGCTGCAATTGACCGATTGTGCTAAATAAACTGACTTTCTGCTTCACAACCACTATTGTACGTTTAAAGAGTTAAATCCATTTACACGCCGGTGGCGGTAATATTTTTTGGGTGATTAGTGCATTCCAGTGACAGAAACGTACAGTTTCCAGCCAACGGCAAGCTGCAATTGACCGATTGTGTACAATAAACTGACTTTCTGCTTACAATACTATTGTGAACGTTCAAAGAGTTAATCCAATACAACAGCTTGCCGTTGGCTGGTAAACTGTACGTTTTGTCATTAGGAATGTGACTAAACGTACAGTTTCCAGCCAACGGCAAGCTGCAAATGACCGATTTGCTACTTTAAACTGACAATAGTGGTTCTGCTTCACAAAGTCTATTTATTTCAAAGAGTTCATCCATTACACTTGCCGTTGGCTGGGTAATACGTTTTTTCACTGGAATGCATTAATGCACCCAGTGAAATAAACGCCACCAGTTTCGTGCCAACGGCAAACTGCTTTGAACGTACAATAGTGGTTGTGAAGCAGAAAGTCAGTTTATTTACACAATCGGTCAAAGAGCAGCATGCCGTTGGCTGGAAACTGTAATATTTTATGTCACTGGAATGCACTAATCACCCAAAAAATATTACCGCCACCCGGCGTGTATATTGGATTTAACTCGATTTTGAACGTACAAATAGTGGTTGTGAAGCAGAAAGTCAGTTTATTGTACACAAATCGGTCAATTGCAGCTTGCCCGGGTGGCGGAAACTGTATTTTTTAGGTCACTAGTGAATGCACAGTGACAAAAAACAGTTTACAGCCAACGGCAAGCTGCAATGACCGATTGTGCTAAATAAACTCTTTTGAACTTCACAACCATATTGTAAGTTCAAAGTCAGTTAAATCCATACACAACGTCAATTGCAGCTTGCCGTTGGTAAAATTTTTTGGGTGATTAGTGCATTCCAGTGACCCATAAACGTACAGTTTCCAGCCAACGGCAAGCTGCAATTGACCGATTGTGCTAAATAAACTGACTTTCTGCTTCACAACCACTATTGTACGTTCAAAGAGTTAAATCCATTTACACGCCGGCTGGCGGTAATATTTTTTGGGTGATTAGTGCATTCCCAGTGACATAAACGTACAGTTTACAGCCAACGGCAAGCTGCAATTGACCGATTGTGTACAATAAACTGACTTTCTGCTTCACAACCACTATTGTACGTTCAAAGAGTTAAATCCATTTACACGCCGGCTGGCGGTAATATTTTTTTGGGTGATTAGTGCATTCCAGTGACATAAACGTACAGTTTCCAGCCAACGGCAAGCTGCAATTGACCGATTGTGTACAATAAACTGACTTTCTGCTTCACAACCACTATTGTACGTTCAAAGAGTTAAATCCATATACACGCCGGGTGGCGGTAATATTTTTTGGGTGATTAGTGCATTCCAGTGACATAAACGTACAGTTTCCAGCCAACGGCAAGCTGCAATTGACCGATTGTGCTAAATAAACTGACTTTCTGCTTCACAACCACTATTGTACGTTCAAAGAGTTAGATCCATTTACACGCCGGGTGGCGGTAATATTTTTTGGGTGATTAGTGCATTCCAGTGACATAAACGTACAGTTTTCCAGCCAACGGCAAGCTGCAATTGACCGATTGTGCTAAATAAACTGACTTTCTGCTTCACAACCACTATTGTACGTTCAAAGAGTTAAATCCATTTACACGCCGGCTGGCGGTAATATTTTTTGGGTGATTAGTGCATTCCAGTGACAGAAACGTACAGTTTCCAGCCAACGGCAAGCTGCAATTGACCGATTGTGTACAATAAACTGACTTTCTGCTTCACAACCACTATTGTACGTTCAAAGAGTTAAATCCATTTACACGCCGGGTGGCGGTAATATTTTTTGGGTGATTAGTGCATTCCAGTGACATAAACGTACAGTTTCCAGCCAACGGCAAGCTGCAATTGACCGATTGTGCTAAATAAACTGACTTTCTGCTTCACAACCACTATTGTACG